CTTCTGTCTACAGCCATCATCACCTCCACCTTGACCAGCCCAGGAGTGACCTCTGCGTCCGCAGCCCGGTACATCATCATCCACCATACCACTGAATGTTTTTTTGCTGCTGCTGATCGACACCCGGTCATCTACCTCATTACTCCTCGTGTATATATGTCACTACCTTCACTGTAAATAAACCTCACTGCTTGCACCAAAGCCAGCTACCTGGGTCTGCTTTTTATCTGCTCGCTCACTCTGTGTTTGAGCGCACCATAAGAATACTCCTAGGCAACTTGTGAACTTGATATATAGAACAGCACTAAAACTGCATTACTTTGCCCCAGAATTTTATGCTAATTTCAAAAACATGCAAATACATTTTTTATAGTCATACTGTAGCTAGAGATGGACACTCTTCTTCTCAGGATTAACCTAATGTCTTTTCCCCACAATATGATAATTCAACACAATACAGACAACGGCACTGTAACCTTTCTTTTTGTTCTGGTCCACTAACTATATTATTATTATTTCCTATCTATGTTTCATTGGTGCCTAAAAATTATAGTTTTTTTTTTTTTTTTACAACAAAGCTTTTATGATAACCTTGTGTTTTCTTCCCTTGTACTTACTACATAATTACACTGTAATGTGCATGCTGTTAGGTGTTAAGAAATTATCCATAAAGTGAGCTAACCTGATACATTAGAGCATGTAACTTTAAATGCCACCTCGGCTGTTAAAGATACAGAATGTTGACTAGTTTGCACAATCCACCAACCAAACATGTTTATTACCACTTGGAAGCACCTCAGACATTTTCAGCAAAAACAACAAAAGTCACCATTTTTATCCAGAATGCCTGAAGGAGTTCAGCCTACAACCCAGCTCGTGCAAAAACCATTAGGGCTTTAGGCCCAAAAGAGGAGAAATGGGGGGGAAATCATTGTGTTGCTCAAGAGAAGAAATAAGAAATACATTGAGAAGATTGTTGGAGATCAATATTCCATTTGGGCTTCAAGACTGTACTAGACAGTAGATAGGCTAATGTTTTGCTGGATAAGCAATGTGTTTGTGTGTGCAAGAATGCTTGGACATTAATTTCTATGACTACAGAAGGAGAGACATGGTAGCGATTGGAAAGCCTGGGATATGCTCGGGGCTTCATGTCACAGGACGAGTTGGACTGTGCAGCTGTCTTCAACTATTGAGGTCATGTTGGATGACAGCATGGTTGGCTCACAAAGCAAAGCATGAGACAGTGGACCAAAGACCTCAGAGTACTGGTACATTGTCCTCATGGAGGGTAAAGTACCTTAGAACTAATAGTTGTAACAGAAAGCATCTGGACTGTATCAAAGCAGGCAGAACCTATATGTTTGTAATATGGTTAAACATTTTGTAATAACTGTGACAGAAGAAAAGGATGCAAAGTGACACAGTGAAAGAGAACGAGATACAAAACTGGGTCTATGGTCAATTCTACACAAGTCAATAAACAGAATTCTTCCTTCACCTATTGCTAACCCTCATTGGGGATTTTGGCAGAGGTCAGCCTCAGCACTGTCACTGAACCACACTTAATGAGGCAAGGTTCCTGCCTCAGCACTCACTCAACCCTCAGCTCCACATTTCAGAGCATAATTCATGTATTCGACCTGTGATTTGAATATGCTTCAGTTTCAATTTGTAAAACTAAACCACTGACTCAAGCACAGATTTAGCCCAGGCAAAGAAAGTGGAAGCAGTGAGAGTGAAATTATAAATTATAATCAGGAAGATTTAAGATAATTAAATTTATAAGACAAAGTGGAAAAGTTTGTTTTGAAGAATTAATTCATGAATCTAAGTAAAGCAATGTTTTCCTCAGCAAGTGCCATCTTGTGCCACCTCAGTCGCTTCAAACTCTTCAGTTGCACACCCTCCTCTATGTCTCATCATCAAAAGACAGAAAGTCCACACAATAATTTCCCACTATTAGTCAAAGGAAGACGTTTTATCAAATATTTTGGGTTCAAACATAATTCAGTGGTAACTTATTTCTTTTAAAGCTGGATGGGCTACTTACTTAAATCAAGTCAAATCATTTTAAATATATAGCCTAAAGTGAGAAACTTAAAGTGCTACAGTGTGTACAACAAAATGCATGTGGTACATTTAAAGTTAAGTGCAACTGGGTTGTGTTCTAAGGTGAGATTGGTTTAGAACAGCTCAGCATTAAAGTGGATGCCTCCCACAGTACTCTGTGCCATAATACCTTTGCTTTTTGGAATTTTGGGGAGTGTTTTAGCCTCCTCCCTTCACCATTCTTTCTCTCTCTCTCACACACTCACACACACACACAGGTAAACACACACACACAGGCTCACTCATGCATTTCCCTCCCTGTGGCTCATTAATCAACGACAGATTATCAGGAAAATGACATGTTCGTGATTGCAGTGTTTCTGGGAAACTTTTTAATATGAGTATAGTTGGAAAGGAGATGCAAATTAGCAGGCTTACTTCAAACATGGTTATTATTCAGCTTGCAGTAGTTTGAGGTTGCTGTCATAAGGCAAAAACTGGAGCTTGCATGCACAACGTAATGAACTTAAAATCTGAAGACCTTTACAAAGTTTTATAAGATCTCTGGTTACATTTACAACTGCAAAGCTGAATGGCGGTATAGTGATAATAGTTGCCTAATAATAGTGCAGGTGAAGGAGTTGATTTATGTTGCTCATTGAACATGATGTATGCCCACTACTGATCACTGCTGCTATGTGCCCTAATCTATACAGTAAAATCACTTTGAAATCGCTAATTAAGATAGATACGTAGTAACTGGTTTCAAAATAAATATATATCTTATTATCCTGAAAAAGAAAAACGGAAAAGGCAATCAGACCATAAACTTAGCCCCTTTGTCCTGCACTGGAATAGCA